TGGGGCGACATGGGAGACGGAGCTATGGGGCGGATGGAGCTATGGAGGGGATGGAGCTATGGGGTGACTTGGGAGATGGAGCTATGGGGCGGATGGAGCTATGGGGAGGATGGAGCTATGGGGCGACTGGGGAGATGGAGCTATGGGGCAGGTGGAGCCATGGGGAGGATGGAGCTATGGGGTGACTAGGGGAGATGAGAGCTATGCGCGCGGATGGGAGCTATGGGGCGACTAGGAGATGGAGGCTATGGGGCGATGGAGCTATGGGGCGGCTGGGAGATGGAGCTTTGGGGCGGATGGACACTATGGGGTGACTGGGGAGATGGAGCTATGGGGCGGATGGAGCTATGGGGCGGATGGAGCTATGGGGCGACTGGGGAGATGGAGCTATGGGGCGGATGGAGCTATGGGGAGGATGGAGCTATGGGGCGACTGGGGAGATGGAGCTATGGGGCGGATGGAGCTATGGGGCGACTGGGGAGACGGAGCTATGGGGCAGATGGAGCTATGGGGAGAATGGATCTATGGGGAGAATGGTGCTATGGGGCAGATGGAACTATGGGGCGACTGGGGAGAATGTAGCCATGGGGCGGATGGAGGTATGGGGCTGATGGAGCTATGGCGCGACTTGGGAGAAGGAACTATCGGGCAGATGGAGCTATGGGGCAGGATGGAGCTATGGAGAGACTGGAGACGTGATGGGGCGACTACAGAGATGGAGCTATGGGGCAGATGGAGCTATGGGGCAGGAGGAGCCATGAGGCGGATGGAGCTATGGGGCGACGGAGCTATGGGGCGGATGGAGCTATGGGGAGAATGGAGCTATGGGGCGACTGGGGAGATGGAGCTATGGGGCAGGTGGAGCCAGGGGCAGATGGAGCTATGGGGCGACTTGGGAGATGGAGCTATGGAGCAGATAAAGCTATAGGGCAACTGGGGAGATGGAGCTATGGGGCGGATGGAGCTAGCTCCATCTCCCCAGTCACCCCATAGTTCCATCCGCCCCATAGCTCTGTCTCCATAGTCGCCCCATAGCTCCATCCACCCCATTGCTCCATCTCCCTACTTGCCCCATAGATCCACCTGCCCCATAGCTTCATCTCCACAGTCACTCCATAGCTCCATCCTCCCCATAGCTCCATCTCCCCAGTTGCCCCATAGCTCCATCCGCCCCATAGCTCCATCCCCCCAGTTGCCCCATACCTATACCCGCCCCATAGCTCCGTCTCCCCAGTCACCCCATAGCTCCATTCGCTCCATAGCTTCATCCTCCTTATAGCTCCGTCCTCCCAATAGCTCACTCCTCCGCTTAGGTCCGTCTCCCCATTCGCCCCATAGCTCCATCCGCCCCATAGCTCCATCTCCCCAGTTGCCCCATAGCTCCATCTGCCCCATGGCTCCTCCTGCCCCATAGCTCCATCTCCCCAGTCGCCCCATAGCTCCATCCTCCCCATAGCTCCATCCACCCCATAGCTCCATCCGCCCCATAGCTCCATCCGCCCCATAGCTCCATCTCCCAAGTCGCCCCATAGCTCCATCAGCCCCATAGCTCCATCCGCCCCATAGCTCCATCTCCCCAGTCGCCCCATAGCTCCATCCACCCCATAGCTCCATCTGCCCCATAGCTCCATCTCCCCAGTCACCCCATAGCTCCATCCTCCCCATAGCTCCATCTGCCCCATAGCTCCATCCGCCCCATAGCTCCATCTCCCCAGTCGCCCCATAGCTCCATCCGCCCCATAGCTCCATGTCCCCATCCGCCCCATAGCTCCATCCTCCCCATAGCTCCATCCACCCCATAGCTCCATCCTCCCCATAGCTCCATCCGCCCCATAGCTCCATCTCCCCAGTCACCCCATAGCTCCATCTGCCCCATAGCTCCATCTCCGAAGTCGCCCCATAGCTCCATCTCCCCAGTCGCCCCATAGCTCCATCTGCCCCATAGCTCCATCTCCCCAGTCGCCCCATAGCTCCATCCGCCCCATAGCTCCATCCTCCCCATAGCTCCATCCGCCCCATAGCTCCATCTCCCCAGTCGCCCCATAGCTCCATCCGCCCCATAGCTCCATCTCCCAAGTCGCCCCATAGCTCCATCTCTCTAGTCGCCCCATAGCTCCATCTCCCCAGTCGCCCCATAGCTCCATCCGCCCCATAGCTCCATCTCCCAAGTCGCCCCATAGCTCCATCCGCCCCATAGCTCCATCTCCCCAGTCGCCCCATAGCTCCATCCGCCCCATAGCTCCATCTCCCCAGTCGCCCCATAGCTCCATCCTCCCCATAGCTCCATCCTCCCCATAGCTCCATCCGCCCCATAGCTCCATCTCCCCAGTCGCCCCATAGCTCCATCCGCCCCATAGCTCCTCCTGCCCCATAGCTCCATCTCCCCAGTCGCCCCATAGCTCCATCCTCCCCATAGCTCCATCCGCCCCATAGCTCCATCCGCCCCATAGCTCCATCTCCCAAGTCGCCCCATAGCTCCATCAGCCCCATAGCTCCATCCGCCCCATAGCTCCATCTCCCCAGTCGCCCCATAGCTCCATCCGCCCCATGGCTCCTCCTGCCCCATAGCTCCATCTCCCCAGTCGCCCCATAGCTGCATCCTCCCCATAGCTCCATCCTCCCCATAGCTCCATCTCCCCAGTCACCCCATAGCTCCATCCGCCCCATAGCTCCATCCGCCCCATAGCTCCATTTCCCAAATCGCTCCATCAGCCCCATAGCTCCATCCGCCCCATAGCTCCATCTCCCCAGTCGCCCCATAGCTCCATCCGCCCCATAGCTCCATCTCCCAAGTCGCCCCATAGCTCCATCAGCCCCATAGCTCCATCTCCCCAGTCGCCCCATAGCTCCATCTGCTCCATAGCTCCGTCTCCGCAGTCGCCCCATAGCTCCATCTCCCAATTCACCCCATAGCTCCATCCGCCCCATATCTCCCTGTATCTCCATCTCCATTCCCACATCTCTCCATCTCCATCCCCACATCTCTATCTCTCTCATCTCCATCTCTCTCATCTCCATCTCTCTCATCTCCATCTCTCTCATCTCCATCTCCCCATATCTCCATGTCCATCCCCATCCCCACCCCATATCCCCATCCCCATCATCTCCGTCCCCATCCCCTTCAAGAGCCCTACAGCTACAGACAAGCACAAGGAGAGACCCCTGCACCCACAACCCTTCTCCACTGCCAAGCCCTGCCTGCACAGGGGCTCCATCCCTTCAGCACCAACCGCTCCAGCTCTCCACCGCTTCCTCCTCACGGGGTTGGAGCTCATCCCCTGGGGCACCCAGGCACGCAAGGAGATGCACTCAGGTGAGTGCCTGACGTCAGCACAGAGGGACCACAGCAAGTGCAGCGGCAGTCAGGCTGGCTCAACCTGATGTGACTCCTGACAGCAGAGGCCGTACAGCACCGCAGTCCTTGGGTACCACTGCAGTCCTTGGGTACAGCCGCAGTCCTTGGGTACCACCTTACATCACTGCAGTCCTTGGGTACCACCTTACATCACTGCAGTCCTTGGGTACCACCTTACATCACTGCAGTCCTTGGGTACCACCGCAGTCCTTGGGTACCACCGCAGTCCTTGGGTACCACTGCAGTCCTTGGGTACCACCTTACATCACTGCAGTCCTTGGGTACCACCTTACATCACTGCAGTCCTTGGGTACCACCGCAGTTCTTGGGTACCACCTTCCATCACCGCAGTCCTTGGGTACCACCTTACATCACAGCAGTCCTTGGGTACCACCTTACATCACTGCAGTCCTTGGGTACCACCTTACATCACAGCAGTCCTTGGGTACCACCTTACATCACAGCAGTCCTTGGGTACCCTCTGCTGCCGCACCCACCAGTGCCAGGAAGTTATCTCAGCCCAGTCCCAGGCTCCCACCCCAGATGTCCCTCCCCAGGGATGCTCTGCTGGAGCACCCCACACCCTGCAGGCAGTGCAGGTCTCAGGGATGCTGCACCATTGAGTGACTGCAGACAGGGGAAGGATGAATCGGAGCCTCCAAGGCTGGCTGAGCGCTGGTGTTGGCTCTGCCGGGGAGGCCCAGAGCATGGGCATGGGGGGCATGGGGGACACTGATGCTGAGAACTGCTTTGCCTTCAATGATCCTTCCCTGTGACATACCTTAGCTGCTCCGCGTCTGTCCAGCCCCTTCACTGCGCTCCCACCCTCCTGCAGAGCTGCAGTAACAGTACATAACCATACAGTGTATATACATGTATATGGTAGGAGTGCCTGCAAGACCAGCTTACCTTCCATAGCTAAGGAACGCAGTCAGTGGGAGCTGTGCACATGGGGGCAGAATCCCTCCTTTCAGCCCTCCCCAGGGCACCCCTGCCATGGAGCAGCAGGAGCCAGCAGAGGCTCAGACCCAGAGCCCAGAGGCTCTCGAGCAGAGACAGCAGCACCAGCGTCCCCTTCGCCTGCTGGCCCTTGAAGGGGGCATCGGGGACAGTGCACACAGCGAAGCGCTCAGCAATGCCAAGGGCAAGGGGTGATGTTGGGAGCTTCACCCATCCTTTGCTCAGGAGCTGTTGCATCAATCTACCTATGGGGCTGGGTACTGGTGGGTAATAGCCTCAGCATCACTTCTCTTGCTTGCTTCCTCTCTAGTTCTTACTGCACAGTGTCTCCTTCCCCTATTGAACTACAGCACTGGCTTGCAGATTGCTCTCATAGCCCATGTTTGCTTGCTTTTCCTCTACCTTTCCTCCTTCACTGTGGGGGAGAGGAAGCCAGCAAGCAGCCCTGTGATGCTTGCAGTTACCCCACAGTCGGAGGCCAGGCATAGAACAGGGGTGCACTGTCTGTTTCCAGCAGGAACGGGAGTTACACTGAGGGAGGTGCCGGTATCACTCCCTATGCGTGCAGTAGCAATGGGAGGCTAAAGCACGCAGCATCACTTGCCTCAGGTGTCTGTAGCTGGGGCAGCAAGGGAAACGCAGCCTGGGGTACCTGCCCTGAGGCCCTTGGCATCCCCCTGTGCAGGAAGGAGGACACGCTGGCTTCCATGACCACCCCCAGGGAGATGCTCTCCAACGTGATGCAGGCGCTGCGGTACCTGGACAGCCGCCTCCCGAACGGCAGCCACCTCATCCTCACGGGCTTGGTGGATGGGCGCTTCCTCTGGGATAACCTGCACCATAGGTACCACCCCCTAGGTAACTATGAGCTCCCTCCTCTACCTCCCTCCTGTACCTGCCTCCTGCTCTTCCTGCTGTCTGCCCGGGTCAAGGACTCCCTTCTGCACCTAAGCAAGGGGAAGGCTGCTGGCACCTCAGTTCTCATCCCCAGCACACAGAGAGAGGTTAAACCATGCCATTGAAGCAGCAGACTACATCCTCACCTGGGTTTGGCAAGCACAGCCTCTGTGGTACCTGCTCTGGGTTACTGAGATGTACCTGCCTCTTTTCAGTGGGTCCACCTCTCTCCCTGACTCCTGGCTGTGTTTGTCCCTATGGAGCACTGCACTGCTGCCCAGGGAAGCACACCAGGAACACCTCATGGCTTCAGGAACCCTGGCATCATCACTTTCAGCCACACAAACACATCTCTTTCCCCGAGTGCCTGTTTATGGCAGGGACAGGGACAGTTCTGCTGCTTATCCAGGTACCAGAGCCAACACAGAGCGCTTTTGGGTACAAAACCAGCACAGGGCTGGCTGGAAACACTCTAGAAGGGCTGGTTTGCCTTGGAGGGACCCAGTTAACCCTAAGCAACAGGAGGTCACCTCTACAGGATCCTCTGATGGGCCCTAAGCAGGTTTCCCTGCTTGGATGCACTCAGAGGCTCTGCCCTTCTGTGAGCCCCTCATCCTCCTGGCAGCCCATCCCAGCAGGCAGTGCCTGTGGGACACACGGCTCTGGGCAGCCCCAGTACCTGGCAGGGATGCTGGATCCTGGAGCTCCCTGTGGCCGCTCCCGCAGCCGGGTGATGGGCACCTAGGAAACAACAGCAGGGACCGCACCTCCATCGGGGCACCGGTGCAGAGCGAGCGAGGAGCCAGAGATCACACTGCAGATTCCAGCCCTGCAAACCAGTGGCTCCTGTTGGGATGGTCACTGTGCCACACACTCACTCTGATCACCCCACAACTGTCCCCCACACTCTGATCACCCCACAACTGTCCCCCACACTCTGATCACCCCACAACTGTCCTACACACTCTGATCACCCCACACCTGTCCCCCACACTCTGATCACCCCACAACTGTCCCCCACACTCAAAGAGCCGAATGTGCATTCAGTTTCCATATGGCCTGCAGTAAGAAACACCAAAGGGAGAGGATGGGGGATGTTCCTGGCGAGGCAGGCTGCTGCATAGCACAGTCCCGGCTGTGTTAGACACCCTGTTTCACTTGCTCACCCACACAAGCACATCCCCTTCCCTCCGTGATAGCAGGATTGTCCCCCCCCGAGGCTCAGGGAACCGGCAGCAGCTCCAGGGTTCCCTTCAGCTTCACAAGCCCTGCGCTCCTTAGAGGGTCAGGGACCTGGGACTGGGTGAAGCATCATCAGGCACACACTTGGGGCACGGGCACGGGTACAGGCTGTGATGGCTTACCCTGAGTGCGACCCATGGCAGGCTGCAGAGGCGCTGGGGATGGGGGTACCTGCAGCAGGAGGGGTGAAGCATCATCAGGCACACACTTGGGGCATGGGTACGGGCTGTGATGGCTTACCCTGAGTGCGACCCATGGCAGGCTGCAGAGGCGCTGGGGACGGGGGTACCTGCAGCAGGAGGGGTGAAGCATCATCAGGCACACACTTGGGGCATGGGTACGGGCTGTGATGGCTTACCCTGAGTGCGACCCATGGCAGGCTGCAGAGGCGCTGGGGACGGGGGTACCTGCAGCAGGAGGGGTGAAGCATCATCAGGCACACACTTGGGGCACGGGTACGGGCTGTGATGGCTTACCCTGAGTGCGACCCATGGCAGGCTGCAGAGGCGCTGGGCACGGGGGTACCTGCAGCAGGAGGGGTGAAGCATCATCAGGCACACACTTGGGGCATGGGTACGGGCTGTGATGGCTTACCCTGAGTGCGACCCATGGCAGGCTGCAGAGGCGCTGGGGACGGGGGTACCTGCAGCAGGAGGGGTGAAGCATCATCAGGCACACACTTGGGGCATGGGTACGGGCTGTGATGGCTTACCCTGAGTGCGACCCATGGCAGGCTGCAGAGGCGCTGGGGACGGGGGTACCTGCAGCAGGAGGGGTGAAGCATCATCAGGCACACACTTGGGGCATGGGTACGGGCTGTGATGGCTTACCCTGAGTGCGACCCATGGCAGGCTGCAGAGGCGCTGGGCACAGGGGTACCTGCAGCAGGAGGGGTGAAGCATCATCAGGCACACACTTGGGGCATGGGTACGGGCTGTGATGGCTTACCCTGAGTGCGACCCATGGCAGGCTGCAGAGGCGCTGGGGACGGGGGTACCTGCAGCAGGAGGGGTGAAGCATCATCAGGCACACACTTGGGGCATGGGTACGGGCTGTGATGGCTTACCCTGAGTGCGACCCATGGCAGGCTGCAGAGGCGCTGGGGACGGGGGTACCTGCAGCAGGAGGGGTGAAGCATCATCAGGCACACACTTGGGGCATGGGTACGGGCTGTGATGGCTTACCCTGAGTGCGACCCATGGCAGGCTGCAGAGGCGCTGGGGACGGGGGTACCTGCAGCAGGAGGGGTGAAGCATCATCAGGCACACACTTGGGGCATGGGTACGGGCTGTGATGGCTTACCCTGAGTGCGACCCATGGCAGGCTGCAGAGGCGCTGGGGACGGGGGTACCTGCAGCAGGAGGGGTGAAGCATCATCAGGCACACACTTGGGGCATGGGTACGGGCTGTGATGGCTTACCCTGAGTGCGACCCATGGCAGGCTGCAGAGGCGCTGGGGACGGGGTACCTGCAGCAGGAGGGGTGAAGCATCATCAGGCACACACTTGGGACATGGGTACGGGTACGGGCTGTGATGGCTTACCCTGAGTGCGACCCATGGCAGGCTGCAGAGGCGCTGGGCACAGGGGTACCTGCAGCAGGAGGGATGCAGCGGTGGGATGCAGGCAGAGCTGTGATTGGCCGTCAGGCCCATGATGCTTCCCCGTGTGTGCTCCGCAGGGCAGCTCAACAGGGACGTCACCTACAGCCAGCTCTATTCCTTCCTCGACTGCCTCCAGGTGAGCTCCTTGCCTCTCACTTCTGAACCCCCTTCCCTGGAGCCACTGCTCAAGCCCTGCTCCTTGTGCCCGGGCAGGTGAGCCCCTGCCGGGGCTGGATGACTCCCAATGAGACCCTCAGGAACCTGACCTCGGAGGTGAGTCCCAGGGACGGCCCCTGCAGGGATGCTCCTGTGCCTGTGGGTATAACCCCCATGGCTCACAGGCAGGGTGCCAGCACACTTGTTCCCCCCTGAGGTGGGGAGAGGATGGGGGAACCATCGCTACCCATCCTTGCAACGCCTCTGAGGCTCGGGGGGGGGGCAGCATGGGCAATGGGTGCGTGAATGTGTTCCCTTTGCAACCTCCCGGCTGCCCACGTTCAGTGTTAAAGGATGTGATCCCCCTGAGGGAAAACCAGTTCATGTTGTGTAAGGAAAGCTTACCTGATGGGAACCACAGGGGCTGGGGCTCGTATGGCCGTGAGCTTGAAGAGCCAACTGCATCCGTTCACTGGCAGAGGGAGCAGGCCCCTAGGGCACATCTTCATCCAGGGCCTGTGCTCATCTGCCTCGCACACACCTCTATGGGCTTCACCAGCAGATGCTGGGGCCGAGGAGCAGCCGGGCTCAGCGCAGCAATGGGAGCAAACAGAGCAGGGATGCCCTAAAGCACCCCACAAACCCGGCTGTGGGAGTCAATGTCACTCCATAGCACACACTTACCCCCTTACCCTACAAGCTGGGTTCTAACCCCAGCACCCCCTGCGCCCCCATGAGAGCCCCAGTAAGCAAATACGCCATCTCTGTGTACAGTTGTATTAAGGTTTGCATCCACTAAACAAAGCATACAGCCTTAATTTCAGCAGGGCTTCCATATGTGCTTCACTTTATGGCCCCTCCTGGCTTCAGAGAGGCAGTTCAGCACATCCCTAAACCTCAGCAGGATCACAGCTTATCAACTCATACCAGCGACCCAGAGCACGTAACCCCTGTCCATGAGCAGTGTGTGTGGCTGCAGGGCATGAAGTCATCTTCTCTAAGCCCCTTCTCAAGCTCATTGTCTGTGTTATCACCCAAAGGGCACAGCTTACACATGTAGGAGACCCTGATCCCTGTTCCAGCTGCAGGAGCCACGCTGGGTCCATCGCTCAGTTGGGTGTCCAGTGGAGGGCACTCGCTGTGCTGGCAGGAAGGGCAGGGTATGGCACTAGCACCCACACACAGCAGCAGGGGGGATAAGGGGAAAGGAAAGGGTTTGTGCTGTAGAAGCTTCGGTTTTCCCTAAGAGCAATGAGGATGAGGGGGATGGCGCTCACCAGGAGACCCCAACACAGAGACATGCAGAACACTGATAGAGCTTAGAGACTATGCTGAATGATGACCCCAGCTGAGGCCTCGGTGCAGCCTGCAGTGATGGACGGCACGGTGAACCCCATAGCGCAATGCCTCTTGGTGCCTATACAAGTCTATATGGGGATGAAGAACCCCATAGCACCTCCTTCCCCCCAGCCAAAAGGGCAACGTTAGCTTTCAGATCCCTGACTGCACATCAGTGACCACAGCTGAAGCCATGCAGAGCAGCGTGAGCGGCAATGCATCCCCATTGCATCCCCATTGCATCCCCAGTACATCACCAGTACATCACCAGTACATCACCAGTACATCCCCAGTACATCACCAGTACATCACCAGTACATCACCAGTACATCACCAGTACATCACCAGTACATATCACCAGTACATATCACCAGTACATATCACCAGTACATATCACCAGTACACATCACCAGTACATCACCAGTACATCATCACCAGTACATCACCAGTACATCATCACCAGTACATCATCACCAGTACATCCCTTGGTTTTTGCAGAGAGCTTCACAACTTTCCAGTGTCCTCAAAGAGATAGCGACCTCAGAGAGATTTGCCAACTTTGATGTTTTCTACATGGATTTCCCACTGACACAAAGTAAGTTGTTTCCCCTGAGTTCCTCACAGCGCAAGTGTTGGGGTGCTGGGATGCTCTCCTGGGTTAGCTCTGTACGGGGAGGAGGGCAGCAGAGCCAGCCAGCCTTGGTGACCCTGCTGGAGGGGCTGTGGGTACGGGGGGACAGTTAATGGCACCCCCTGGTTGGCGTGGGCACACCACCAGCATAGGCACCATAACCTGCACACTGCTCCTCGCTGCTGGCACCCACAGCCCTGCTGGGCAGCACCCTGGGTGGCACAGAGTGGGGATGCTGAGGCTGGGGGTGGCACCTTCATGGGCTGCAGGTTACTCTATCACTGCCCATATTGCACCCTCTGGGATGAGCAGTGCTTCACGCCTTCTTTCTATGCTTCCTTAAGCACCCGTATGCTACTGTGACCTGGAGAGCTCACAGAGCTCATCCTTCTGTGCTCATGCCCTAAATCACTTCCTTCTGCACTGGCACTTAAAGCAAACCCCCAAAAGAGCCAGAAACCTTCTCTTCTCACGGAGTGGACGTGTCCCTGTGGGGCTGGGGACAGACGCTTGTCCCTGCATCCTCTCAGCTCCGTTTCCCCTGCGAGATGTGCGTGGGTCCCTCTTGAGGCATCGCTCAGCATCAGCCCAGCTGCACTGCAAGGACAAACACCCTTGCTCTTCCTGCTTGAGAACTGAATGAGCGAGAGGTGAGGGGTTGAGCTCATACTCACATAGAGAGGTGCTTCTCTGTGGGGTTCAGTGCTGCAGCACAGGGCTTCAGGATGTCCCAGCCTCTCTGCACCTACTTCACATTTACCAAGCCATTAGGGTTGGGATCGGACTGCCTGCTGGGCAGGCAAACTGCTTTACCAAGTGAAATCCCTCACTGTAGGTCATTTACCTGCTTTCACATGAAGAAACACCCTCCCACAATCGGCTGTCCCTGACTCCAGGGCGCTGGGTGAAGGAGGTGAACAGCATCTCCCATGCACACACAGACAGCAGCACCTACAGGCACCTGGCAAAGCTGCCTCCAGCCCTGGAGCCAGCGGCTGGAGCTGCCCATAAGGGAAGCTGGCGCTTTGGGAGCGCTCCAAAGGAGCTGAGCCCCTGCTGCCCGGCTCCCCTGGCCCCTGTCTGAAGCAAGAGCAGACCTTCCCCAAGCCCTCCACACATCAGATACTGAGCACTGGTTGCACGCTGCCATGGGCACACTGATTTCAGCCTGGAGATACATATATATATGTATCTATTATATATATATATATATATATATATATATATATCAACTCCCAGCTTTCTTGGGGTAAAATTTGGGTATAGTAGTGTTGGTGCTATACTTCGATGGGCAGCCAAGCTCAGGCATTGGGTGCTGAGGCGCTGGCACAGGGTGCCCAGAGGAGCTGTGGCTGCCCCATCCCTGGCAGTGCTCAAGGCCAGGTTGGACACAGGGGCTTGGAGCAAGCTGCTCCAGTGGAAGGGGTCCCTGCCTGTGGCAGGGATGGAGCTGGAGGAGCCTTCAGGTCCCATCCAACCCAACCATTCCATGCTTCTGTGTTGAGTTTGGATGAACTGACTGGGCCCTTTAACAAGCAGAGCAATAAATAGGGTCTGGGGTGGTTGTTCCAGCTTTTCCCCAGCGTGGATGGGAGCAGGCTCTCATGTAGCCAAGGCAATGGGGACATGAGGCAAACTCATGGCACAGTCTGTGAGTGTTCAACTGCTCTGGGATGCTTGCAGGTCAGTTATAATGGTCTACATTGACTTACCTTGACACGAGCCTTACCTCCCTTGCTCACTCCTCTGCTGTTTCTGATGCTGGAATAGTCATCCCTCTGCAAAGTAAAACACAACCCAAAGTGGGAACCCAGAGTTAGCATGGGGACCCAAGCATCACTGTCTGACAGGGCCCATCAAACAGCAGCGAGGCTGTGTCAGAACCATGGGGCTTGAACAGAGAACAATCCCCTCCTGACAGGATGCCCCCATAATGCTGTTAAGAGTTCTTACCCTGCCATTATAACAGAACTCACTGAGTTTGCAGTCTGTTAATGCCGTATCCACTCATCCTATGCTCCATCACTCCACACTCCTCTCGAAGAGGGAAAGACTTTCCCTTCTCTCCTGGCGCTGGGGCTCCCAGCGCAGCATCCTTTGCACTGGCTGCCATGGTTCTGCCATTCAAAAGGTTATTTGGTGGGAGCTGGGAAAGGCTGCTCACAGGTAACTGCAGATGAGAGCCTATTCCTGCAGGCCTCGGCCCCGTGAACGCTGCGCTGCCATCTCTCTCTCTGGAAAGCACTCTTTTCTTTATCTCCCTGGGGTTTTGCACTGCTGAGGATGCAACTGAAATGAGAGAGGCACAAGTATTAAATCAGTGTTAAATGATGCACAGCTTCACTCGCTGCAGCATCCATCTGCTAGGGAGGGAGAGGGAGTTGGTTTGCGGTCATTGGTGCTCAAAGCACTTCCTTGCATGCATATGGCAGAGGGAAAACCCAAGCACTGAGGTTAAACAGTGCCCCGAGCAGAGGGGACTGCAGAGGGCAGGGCTCTGAGAGCCCCATGGGAGCCCCCATAGGCAGAGCTCTCTGTGCTGGGAGGGATGGGGCTCACCTGTGGGCAGGCGCCTGCGTGCTCGGGGTAACCCCTCTGCTCCCCCGTGTGCAGCAGCCGAGCAGTGGCGCAGGATGGGCGGGGAGCCCTGGCAGCTGATCGAGCCCGTCGATGGCTTCCACCCCAGCCAGGTAAAACCAGCCCTGGGGATGGGGGGAGCAGGGGATGGGCAGCTCCCTGCAGGGACCGGGGCTGGGGCCTTCTCCTCCTGTTCTCTGCTATGGGGAGTATGAGCAAAACAGAGCTCCAACAGACAGCCTGCAGGAGGCACAGACTGGAGCATCAGGGCTGGGGAGTTTTAATCTAGATAGAATTGGGCCCCTTTCTATGGTTCCTTTACAGGACAGTGTTTGCTAGAGGTACCAGAGGCATTTAGAAGCAGGAATTCCTTTGGGCTTGCAAGGGTTTTACACCTTACATTCAAGTGATGCTTTAAAATACTGTCAAAATGCCTGGGGGCAGAAAACCCCATAAAATCAGACCCTAGGGCTCTGAATGTACATTGATGGAGCAGGCATCAAGAGGGAGCAGGAAGCAGCTGGGGACTGTCCATCCAACACCTGGTCAGGGAGGTGCAGGTATTGGGTCCTCACCTTGTTTCCAGTGCTCAGAAGGGTTTCCTGGTCAAGCGGCTGGAAGGGGGCGTCTCCGATGAGGGGCTCTGGTCCATGCCATTGCGGGACATGGGAGCCGTGTTCCCGGGGGGGCTCCCAGTGCTGCCAGGAGGGAGCTGCAGGGTAGAGGCAGGAGAGGCTGACAGTGTGTGTGCTGTTCGCAGGCCGCTGCAGCCCTGGGCACCAGCATCACCTGGCAGAAGGCCCTGCAGGAGTGGCCCCGGGTGCTGGGGAAGGAGAATCCCTTCAACGAGCAGATAGAAGCTCTCTTCCAGGACCAAGGTGGACACTGACTGCCGAGGGCCGGGGCTCGGCCGGGGCTCCTGGTGATGCTCCCGGGGCAGCCACGGAACGGGCTGCCTGCAGACACACACACACAGAGGGAGAGGGCAAGCTGGCCGAGCAGGAGCAGTGGCCATCACACAGCAGCGCTCCCTGCAGCCTGGACCTCACCTGCACGAGCAGGCCATGCTATGCAATAAAGGATACCCGCCTGCCTGCGCCACCCCTTGCACTGGTTTGCGAACCCACACGGGGTTTTAATCCCATACAGAGCAAACTTCTAACCCTGCCTCCTTCCCCCCCCGCACAACTCCTGGGCTTCCCATTGGTGCTGCTCAACAGTTAATCTGACCCCAAAAGGGAGCGGTGGGGAGGAAAACCCCAAACTCCTTCTACTGCTCTAAATGGCCCGGGATTGCCCCGAGGGCCACTACATTATTTAGCTGCTATTTGCTTATTAAACGTGCCAGGAACAGCAGGGAGCTGGGGTTTGGGTTTCCCGGGCAGCATCAGCACCAGCTGAGCACAGGCTCTCTTCCCCCCACCCCAGCATTAAAAGGAGAGCAGCTTCACAACCCCTTGTGTCTTTAGAACAGGCTCTTTGCAACCCTTCATAACCCTTTGCTCTTTCCCCTCCTACCAAGCCTGATGCACCCAGTCCTGTAGCTCCCTGCAGGTGGGACCCAGGGACTCACTGAGCACACCGGGAAGCCCTCACCTGCTGGGCTCCGTGCACACTGGGAGGCTGGGAGCCGCTGCAGGTTCTTCAGAGCCAAACCAGCAAACCCAAGGGAACTGGAGGCAGCTGTGCCCTGCTCACAGCCTCAGTGGTGCTGCAGGGGTCAGACAACGCAGAGCAGCAGCACCGGCATCACCGCAGCTGTGCGGGCAGGAGCTCCTTGGGGACAAGTAGATCTTGCCCTGACCTGCTTCAGGAACCCAACAGGGGTTATATTCCTTACCTGAAGGAGGCTTCCTAATGAGGCCCAAAACTCCCTGGAGGCGTTTAAATGTCAGCAGAACACCCGCTCTCCCATTGCACTGTTCCAGCTCCACGGGGGCAGGCCTGAGGAAGGGCAGTGAGCATCAGAAGGGAAAGGAAACCTACCTGCTGCCCATGCCAAGCCTCTCCACCATCTGCCGCACACTGGCCAGGTACAATGCCTCTAAGCACCCTTTATTACCTGCTCAGGCTTCCTGGCTTCCATTAAAAACAAGTGGGTAGAAGGAACAAGTGCATCCACGTGGTTTTACTACAGACCAAGTACAGCACAGACAACAATGAGAGACTATCAGAGAATTGCCTCGACACCAAAATACAGAAGCACAGCAATGAAAAGGGGGAAGGGAACAGTATGTGTTTAGAAGCCCAATTTTCAAGCAATCTCATTGCAAATTATTGTGTTTCAGTTGAGGTTGGGATTTAATAACACCAATTAGGAGCTTTACAAGCCAGTAAGACTGAAATCTCCTTCGCTAAAATAAGCTTCATTGCCCAGAGCAGAGCATTTTCCATTTACAGACTTAGGAGTGAGCATCTTGCATTTGTGAACAATGGGGGGAAAGAAAAGCTTTCTTGTAAAATGAGAACAGCATCTTCTCAAAGCTGACCTGGAACCCAAAACAAAGCTCTTGGGTCTGCCCAGTGTAACTGCTCTGTGCTTGGCAAAGGGTGCCTCAGGGATGTAAGGGAACAACAGGCCTGCCCCTGGCCAAAGGAACACAGAACTCTGCATTGTCCTCACACCTTGGAGGCAAGCTCTGCAGGAGCTGGGTTTACCAATGCAGTAACTATGCACACATAAAGATGAATTTGGGGCATCTGAAGGCATCAGCTTTTACAAGCACCTTTAACTTACTATTCAGGGTTAGAAACCCTTCAGGTGTCCTCCAGGACAGTCAGGAGGCCCGTCCGTTGAAAAGAAATGAGAAATGGAGTTGTAAACGTCTGTGTGCTGGGACTCTAGGATTCTATTTCAGAGAGAACAGAACTCAGCTGCAAAACCCAGCTGGATTCTGCACCACAGCCACCAGTCGCCTCCCAGTACCCCTCTGAAAATACAAGTCCTGTATTTAAGGAAATGCTCCCAAAAAAGCTGATTATTACAAAAGCAGCTTCAAGCTATGAATCCTGGTGTGTGCCATGAGATTTAAACGGCTCCTGCTGCTTAGACTGCTTGAAGTCGGACAAGGTTTCATGCAATTCAAACACTGGAGCAGTACAGATCTGTAGAAGCAATGGTATACAAGGGCCTTGCAGTGTGAGCAGGTGAGGCTGGTTTCAATGCACTGCAAACTGGAGGGCTGGTTTATGCCATTCTGCTCATAAACTCTTTTCCCAGACTGAAAGCTTGGTTTGAAATCACACCCTAAGAACCATTTTGGAGCCTCTATAGGCAGCTGAAGCTATTTGAATTCATGGAGAATGGTCTTTTTGAAGCCTCCACGTGGAAGCTTGAGCAAGGGGACAGTCTGCCCTGTGTCCACTGTCCATGCTGTATCCCTGCTCCCAAGGCATCCCATTTCCTTACCCAGTCAAGTAGTAGTTTGAGTTTCACATTCTGAATGGGAGAATCCTTCCTTCAACACTGCTTGCAGCCCAGCTTCTCTTCTTCAGCCTACAAACCGGCATCTCCAACGCACAGAAGGCACGATGAAGCAAGGAGAAAGTGTCTTCTTTATTTTAAATGAATAAAACAAACCTCAATACATAGGTTGGAAAGATGTAAAGACATCAGAAAAAGAAAACTGGATGGGAAAGAAATGACATCAGTGACAGGATGAACACAGTAGAGGCGAACAGAACTTAGTGTTTCAAGTGTGAATACATGACAGCAATAGCAAGTACAAGTATTCCACTGTTGCATTTGCAGTTAAGGAGCTGGTGTTTCACCAAGCCCGGTGAAAAGCTGTGAAAATTGTTAAGTTTGAACTGAGAAGTTTTGTTATTTTATGGATGGCTCTGAAGCGCTGCTGTTATCTGCATTTAGGGACATGGCTATGAGGGGGGAGAAGAGCCTTGCTTCCAGACAGCAGAGCATTAGCTGGTACAGAGCAGCTTGTAGTGTCTTATATTGAGAGAAAGCACTTTTACAACCTGCTCCTGGTTCTCAAATGGAGAACTGTACCTTGTAAAAACCCCAAGTCCCAGGAAATACTGACATCTACAACCCTAATATCATTTTTCTCTCTTTTTTTAACATAGCAGTCCTCACAAAAATAATCAAGACCTTTCATCTCCATCAAAGTGCAATATAATGCATACATAATTCCACACCTGTAAACCACACAGTATACATGCCATGCACTTATCCATACCAGTTGGTATGGGAAATGGCAAAAGAAGTAGGAGTAGACTGTGCATGTGTTCTGTCCTGGCTGCAAGGACACTGTGCAAGCAAGAAACACCTATAACGCATGCTGTAGAATGTAACTTCTATGCCTGATCATTACCAAAACAACCTGAGAAACCCTCCAATAGTACATGCTCTTCAGCATCACCCTTGCTAGGAAACAGAGCTCTTGTTTCTTTAAGGGAGCACAGTTATGTAGGAGAGCTTGGTTTCTCACTACCCTGTCCCCTGGAGTGTGATTTCCTGCAATGGTTGTTTAAAGAAAAGAACGTACTTGGCTAAAAAAGACTTCCAAAAAGAAGGAGTTATCCAGCACATTTAGCAAAGAGCTGATTACTTCCATCGCACTCAAGAGCTGGGAAGGAAAAAGAGCTTTAAAATCCTTAACAGTGAAATAAAAATACCGCAGAATATACTCCTGTATAATGTTAAATACTCTGAAATTTAAAGCATAAGTGACCCAGAAGACTTCCCACATTTCCATTGAAGTTCATTTTTTTGGGTGTATAGTTCATGCAGGTTTTGTATACGTATTTCCTTTACATTCCCCTTCCAGAGTTTAAAGCTTTCCAATGGGTTTATAGCAGGCATCAGGCTGCCACATGCGAAGGTCAACAAGGACTTGGTTGAGCTTTTGCATCCAAATATTACGCTCTTCTTTAGTGTCAGCAGACAGCCAGTTCCTAAAAGGCAAAGAACCCAAAGGATTAGCTGTGCCTTTCTCTGCCTCTACTCAGCTCTTCCCATAAACGTCAAGGTGCTGATCCAGAGAGCACTAAACAGCGTTTAATCCATCTACTCACTTGGTAACACAGAGGGTGTCCCTGCACTGGCTGACAAGAGTCTCTCTGTCGTCTTCCCTCTGGGGCCGGACCGTTATCAGCTCAAAAGTGTTGGGGCGGGCACAGAACTCCCTGTTGGCAGGTTCAATCCGATGGTTTGTGCAGTTCGCCAGGTTGATCCGCCCCAAAGGATGCTGCAAGTAAAGTTCAGCAGTCAAGGAGTCTGCAGGCAGGAGCAATTCTGACTAATGGAAGCTTTGAACTGGTTTTGCCATATTAAGTGACACCCCCAAATCAATGACTCCATACAAAAAGAGGGATTCCCTTTTTGGTGTTTAAGAGCCGCAGCAGAAGCGAGACTATTGACAACGGAACATTCCCCGCTCAGCCACACAGCATGCAGCTAACAAACCCATTCCTTACCACAGGCTCTAGAAAGATGTAGCTGCTCTTTTTTCCTTTAAGAAGCTCTAACTCTCCAATTCAAGACAATTCCATAACAAACTCCAAAATGATAGGATCAACCTTGTCAAAGCCTACAGAAAACAAGCACTTCAGGGATGCTTGCATCATGCTTGTCAAAGCCTATAAGCACACAGATCCACCTTCAACCATGAAAGCACCCGAAGTGCCAAGTCTGGCTGGTTTAGTTCCCTCTGTAATCAAAGCAAGACCCCTCCTCTCTTCCTTTCTCTCTTTCTGCTGACTATAGACAGAGGCTGAGCTGTATGCCTCAAGTTACTTACAGTCCTTGGCTCCTATTCCTCACACCTACAGAATGAATACAGGTGTACAGGGAAACATCAGAAGCTGCTCTTGGCTTGGGGAAAAGCTTGCTATTTACTGGGCATATTCCCAATATTATTCCATAGATAA